CTGTACAGTATACATTAACATATTGTGGACATTGTTATTGCACTTATTTTTATTGTACTTATTGTAGACACATAATTATTGTAGGGATACGAGCGGTATCCGCAATCCTGGCAGCGACCACACGGATCATGACGAAAGTGATAACACCATGCTTGAAGATGAACCGGAAGTGCTGGATGCTTCAACTAATTCCGCGCGCACCAACCATAACGAAGTATCCCTTGTCGATGCCGTTGAAGCATCGGATGACGAAGAAATTCAGTGGGATGGGGGTTACAAGAAACGCAAGTGAGTTATTTGAAGCCACATTCTGAGTGCAAAAACATTTTCACATGTTTTACTTTCATCATAATTGTTTGCTATTTGTTTACAAAAGAATAGAAAGTAATAATAAGAAACTGTTTGCAAAAGAGTGCAAAGTTCAAAGCCCTGTCTAATGTGTGTTGCACTTTCATCGTGTCATCTGTTGCTTATTTTTTCGACTTGAAACGATATCGCTATTTACACCGTAATTTTATTCAGGTTGGGAGATTACGTATATCTGACGCTCCCGGCGCGGGAACGTGATAGATTTAGCCTCTGTATTCAGTTATTGGAAGATGATCCTGAAGCGACCGAAGAGTGCCTGAATACAACGGCTCCTGTCGGATTTAAACGCAACGGCACGTTTTTGGTCCAGAAAAAACCAATGGATGATTTGTCGACCTTTCGGCTGGACGGTGTCGCAAACTGGAGAAGCGATGGGTCGAAAAAAGTGGTTGGCCCGGCAAAATGCACATATTACAAAAGTGACGACTGCCCAAATTTCCGCAAAAATGTGTATGAACTCCAGAATGGGGAACCAAACTTTCTTTTGAATTATGCGGTGGTAGAGTACTGATGGACATCCGGCAGTATTTCATCTGACTTCACTATGGCACCACGTGCCAACTCAGGCGGAAAGCACAGACAAGGTTGCACTGCTGTCGGACTCCGTATACTTAAAAAGGTTGCGACAGAAAATCCAAAACTAAGCTCAAACGTCAAAAATAAAAAAATGGTTTTGACTGGAGACCATTTGCTGTGGTATTCGCAAGTGACCTTTTCAACAAAACCTGTCAGAGACATTATATACCGGCAAAGGTATCGAAAAATGAATTTTAGAACGGTTCAAGGAAAAAGGAACTGCTTTCATTAAAAAGACGCGCCGGACGACAGGCCGAGAGATTTTATGAACCAAAGGGTGGTGAAAGGCGGTGTGCGGAGCTTTCACCTTAAAAAATTCAATTGTAACCTGCACTTTTGTAAACAGCTTTTCTTTCCTTATATATCTATAACTTACAAACAATAACATATGTAACAGTAACAGTGCAATAATCTTCCAAATATAAGAATGTTTTTTAAAGGGCAGTGTGCGTTGGATTAATAAATGTGCACTAGTCGTAACAATTTGCGGCAATGAATTTCCGGGCGCATATCACACCAACCACGCGCCATAAATAAGTTTATGTAAAATAAACTCCTGAGCGTTACCCGGTTAATCAGGAAATATATGAACGTGAAAAATTTTAAGTTGCGCGGATCGTTGCAGATTTATACTTTTATTATAAGTGTTCGACTGTACTGTAGGTTGCCCAAATTACACAGATTCAGCACAGCATTGGGGTGAAAGTGGATCTCAACCCCACCTGGTCCTTTTCGGGTTGAGACCTGTGAGCCAGATCATACAGGATCCAGGTGCTACGGATGCGGCAAAAAACTGTGTGTGAATGGGATTCCCAAGATAGTTCTCGTGCTTAATGAACCGCATTACATGTCCGGCTTGACCGGCTCGGCAAAACAGCCACGCCGGCTCGTCCTACCACGTACCACTTCAGCCGGATGCGTGTCCGTAAGCGGCACGGCGATTTTGTGCTGAACAGCGTATCGCGTTTTACCGAAACCATTATCGAAAACTGTGACTTGGATGCTGACGATCAAGAGGCATTACAGAAATTCATTGAGTCTTGCCGAAAATAAGGTAACAACCACCAGAAAGCACTGACTGTTTGTTCTGCTTAAGTGGAATGGTTCTATTAACTTGAGACGATAGTATGGTTAGGAATAATGATGAGGTGTTCAGCTATTTGATTTATCTTGGCTTTATGCATGGCAGCAAATTGATGAATTGGAATTCTCAGAACGAAACGTTTGTTTTTTAACCCAGACTGAATATTTAAACAAATTATAACACATATTCTTTTATTACTGATTAACGATTTCTTTCCTGCGAGCCCTTCTTTAAGGGCGGGGCGCACTGGTGCCCCCTTCCGAAGGAAGAAAAGAAAATGATGCGCCATTAGCTGGCGCAAATGGCTACCGCGAAAAATGGAACTAGCGCGGCCGCACCAAAATTACGATAGAAAAGTGTGGAAAAGCTGCTATTTTATGCATGTTTTATGCCCCCTTCCCTTCCAAAATGTTCTCTGGTGACAAGTGCGAAGAAAGCGAAAATAATAGGAGAAACAGTTAAGGGAGATGGCAACGATGCATGCATGCTTCAGGAAAAGCGAAGTCATCCCGTATTTCACTTCCGTTATGAAAACATTACAATAGCGCAGTTTTTGGTAGTTAGCATAAGTGCATAAAATATACAAAAGAAAATTGCCAACTTTGCGGATCCAGGTAGACGGTATTGCGTATAAATGCGGTTCCGCTGAGTAGAACTACTTTCTAACAGTTTAATGTAAATTTGTTGATATACAGTCTATGTTGCTAGATTAGGGATACGGATCGTAACAACGCGGGAATGGGTATCATTGTTTTAGCGACCGGAATGGAAAAGTTTCTGTATGGCAGACAATTACAAATATTTTGTTATATACTCGCTAGTACGAGTAATAATTGCTTCGCGTATTTGCACGTTTTAAAATGGTTGCATCTCAACTTTTTGTTCGTTACTAGCTTTAAATACTTTCCAGTGTGTGCTCATGTACTCGCCTGTTCTGCGTAATTTTACGTTTTAAAATGGTTGTTTTTGTTTTGCGTTCCTTACTGGGTTTTAGCGCGTTTTTATGTTACAAGGCATTAGCGAACTTATTGATGCGCGCTTGCAGTACTTAATGCAATTAAAGGAAAGCCATTATTCTACAAGTTTATTGTTATTATTAACCTATGCGGTACGAGTACCGTGTCAATTCGCCATGTACAGTCGATAATACTAATAATACGTAATACACAAGCAGTTCATATTCCGTTCCGAGCAAACATGATTCCGTTCCGATTAATTTAATATATTCCGTTCCGTTAAAAAATTAGTATTCCGATTCCTATTCCGGAAATTTAATTCCGAATATTTGTATTCCGTTCCGACTGTTACATTCCGATTCCATATTCCATTCCGACCAACTGTGCAGGCCTTGGCTTATTGGCGCCGCAGGTAAGAGAGAAAATAACAGCTCTGCGTTATACTGTATGTATGATCTGAGTGGAAAGGCGAGTTGTTTTCCCGTAGGTGTCACTGTATCATATGATCATATTTATATGCAGCTTTTGGTGCTAACAGCAAATTTTGAAAATAAGGTGCTAAGCTTAAATTCAAAATGTCAAAATATAAAAGTAATTCTACATGCTTATATTTTGCACACATAAAATCTCTTGTGAGGCTGATGGTCGCTGGATCACTTTTAATTGTCTTAATAACTGCGGCGTTTTCTGATGGAAATTTTGGTGTTGAGTGTCGTGATAATTACCTCGTAAAATGCTTGGTTTAGCTCGGATTGAATAATGGCAAGTTTTCGGAGTCGGTTCCTAAAATAAAATAAAGTGAATACTGAGGAATTAAACCTGCACAGTTCAATAGCGTAATTGATAAAAAAACGGAAGACCATTAAGGTACAAGGTTTTAAATTGTCTTAGCACCTAGATGCAAGTTGCTTTCCTGTTTTTACCGCAATTAGAGCTGGTATCAGATGTTTTGATTTTGTTGGATAGTACATGTATTCCTCACGGAATTTGTTCAATATACCGGAATTTTCTTTTTTGTTTGCGAAAACTGCTTTAACTGCCGCGGTATTAAAGACAAAAAGGTACTGCGGTAATAGCTTAAATGTTTAATCGAAAATTATGATTAGGTAACTCGGACATTGCAAAGCTACCCGGCTATCAATAAGCAAAGTATTTGTACTGTTATATTTCCTGCACGCTTCCCTGATGATTCTTGAACACCTAACTTAATAAAAAAATATACTGATTAAGATGCGGCAAAATTTTAGAAATTTATTTTGCGGTTACCGCATCAGTTGTGGTACAGCCTGCGGCACTTAGACAAAAATTGGGCAATCTCTAATACAGTTGGTACTTTTTTCTCCACTCAAAACAAAATTAGTTTTGCGGTCGCTGTTTATGGTAGCGATATGCCGTTAGAAATGCTTCACTCAAGTGTCTAAAGCACTCGTATTTTGTAGGAATAAACTTTATCATGGCGACTCGGTTCAACACATCGTGACTTATTTCTTTCTCCGTTGAAGAAGCAGTGGTGGTTAAATACTGTTTAAAAAATTCAAGCTTATTAATTATTATTTTTTATTCTTGTCACGGTGCATCGTTCTTTGTATCTGTATCTATCACGCGATCGTCTTTTTCTACCAGTAACATTGCTACAATAACGCGTATGAAAATCGGCCTGCGCTGAATTTGCTAGAAATTTCCGGAATGTTCATTTTTTCTTGTTTTTCATGTGGCGCCATTAAGGATCTAAACGCGTGGCAGTTTCGATCGACGAGCCTTGTTATTAAAAAAACCAAGACCAACCCATCTCGTTTGTTACACAACTTCGTTTCAAGGTTGCAGATTGCCGGCATTGTTCAAAGAAAAGCCACCCGCCAATCAGCGCGCATAAACAATGGACAGCCAGAAAGTTGGCAACCATGGAAGTTCCAACCTTGATTACGCTTGGCAGCCAATACAACAAATAGCACCCGCGGCGTGTCTGTTACACAAAGAAATAGAGCGGCTATAATTCCCCTTAAAAACCGATGACTGACTTGCAAAACATTCAGTTGGGCTCGATCAATACTCTCAATCGCCGACATTCGTCTAACAAGCTAACGCATCACAGGCGGCTCTCTGCAACCATGGCCAAGTTAGCAATGTTCGTCTTCCTGGTTTTGGCGGTCACCTATGCTTCCGCTGCGCCCAACAACAACTGCAAATGGGTTAAGAAAGGTAAGGAAGCTTTTAAAAGTGATTATATAAGTGATTATATAACCGCAGAAACGCAGTATTACGTTGACTTGATTATGCATCCCATATTAATTAATATTCTAATGTTCGGGGCGATTCAAACCGGACATATTTTTTTCCAGATTTTTTCAAATTTTGCAATTTTATCTTGGCTTTTGATTATCCTTCTTTCAATAAACAGCAGCAAAGTGATGTAATGAAGCGAACTAAATGTCCGTGTCTTGTAGATAGGGGCGTAATAGCAGGCGCCACCGACAGCATTGGGCAGAATATCGGCGGTTTCTTTGGCGGTGCATTTGGCGCCGTTGCGCCGCCCAGTGCCAACTCTGGTGCCATTGCCGCAGCCAGCGGGGACGAGAGCCAGGACGATAGTGACAGGTCGGGTTTGGGCGGTGTGGCTAATACGGGTGGCCGGCTTGTGGGAGGAACATGGGCCGGAGTGGTGCCGAATTCCGTCCGCTGTGGGAGTATCACGTCAGCCAAGCAAACTGGTATGCATATAGCTAACAACGGGAATTTTCTTTTAATAACTTTACTGCACGAAGCGCAAATTATTATTATTGTTATTAGTAAGGTGAATCGAATTGCACGCTAAGGTCCAAAATCCAAATTGCTTCGCTATCGATAGAGTAAGTCATTTTATTGATTTTCGTAGGTAACGCTGGAAACTCCCGAGTCGATCCCGCGTGTGCTGATGGCTCGTGGCAGGATAGCCGCGGTCGTCCGTGCAAGCCGTAAGCAGTACGACAGTGGACAAGCCGTGAAACAGCCAAAAACTGCAACTTTATGAGATTGCACTGTACAGATTTGTAAACTGGCCGCAACAGCAGTTATGTAAACGCCTACCAGGAAATTGCTGTCCTATTTGTTCATCGTCTATATTACACCAAGGAGAATTTCCTTGTCCGAGCCAGTTGATTAAAAAATGACATAATTCAAATTATGTTTGACCAGTAAAGCCCGGAACAGTTTTTCTTTCCGTTTAACAATCAGCAAGATGGTTTACATGTAGAAATCGCTCAGTAACGAAACAAGAACATATTTAAAGCTTTGGTGGAACATATTTACAGCTTCACAGCAATTGTAAAGTACCGCTGCGCTTATTTTTTACAGAAGTTCGTTATTCTGCGTTTTATTTAGGGTCGACATTTAACACAACAATTATTATCAACAATAATTATATATTATAATTATTATCATTTAACACAACCATTCTAATTAATACTGCGGTTTCTGTGGCCAAAACAGGCCACATATGAGTAAGCATTCAACAGACCGGCATCGTCGAATGTCAGTTAAATACCATGCACACAACAAAATAAACGTGTTCATTTACTAACACAACGCATGAGTTTAACGGGTATAAGACGCGGATGAAAGCCGGCTTCCGTGTATGGCACGTCCTTCCAGTTCAGATGCTATTATAATGAAATTATGCTCGCAATTTCTTAAACTACTCGTAGATTGGAACGATTGTTCAAATAACCTTCTGCGTAATAGCATTTAGTTAGTTTAGAATAATAAAAATCATTAATATTTTTTTTCGCTGGATATAATGTTTATTTGAATGAGAAAGGCATAGGAAGTCCAACAGCATACGCACCTTTTTCTTGCATAAAATCGATTATCTTGACAAATGTACATAATAATAAATATAATTAGTAATAGCAAATTGGATTATCTCAAAATGGCACGGTGTCATATCGACTATTGTTGCATCGGTTGTTGGCTGACGACCAGCTTTGGTCGCTTTATCCTGCCTTTGCACCATGTAGGCAAATATCTCTTCCAGTATCCAAAACTTAAGCAGAGTAATACCGGATCCAGCAATGCCTGGAGACTAAAAAGAGTATTTCCAACACTGCTTAAAGTCTCCAGTCTGGCTGGTGAAATGAAGCCAACCAATATGTAATAAACCATATTGGGAATCCAGCAGGCCGTAACACATGCGGTCAGCAGTGTGAGGGCAACGAAGGGTCGCGAGCGCCCCATCTGGCGAGATGCAGCTCTCGCTGACTTTCCACTTCTTTCAGCGTAGCTGGTTACGGTGTCAATGCGATAATTGGCTAGTGTCCTCCTTCGTACCGCTTTCCATAACAGCAACGGATAACAAGCAGGAATAAGCAGCTTGGGCACATCATACTGTAACAGCCGCCGGTTTGACTGCTGTTGGGTTGGTTAATCCACCTTACCCCGATCTGTCGGCTGTTAGTGTGGGAAAGGCTGGCACGGTCGGCAGCGATGCTGACCGGAAGCTGACTAGCGTTTATAGGGTGACAATGATGGGAGATGCACGATCATCCCATAGCGACTACGCAACACAACACAAGGTCATTAGGTCATTCGCAAGTGTTTATTAGCAAGTACAACGTAGCAAGAATCAGCGAGCAACGCAAGCTGAGGAGCAAGAAGTGCATAAGCACGGGAGCAAGAAGCGCGGGAAGCGCATTAGCAAGAAGCGCGGAAGGCGTGGAGCAAGTTCAGAGCAAGCTGCAGCAAGACTAATTTCAAGATGTTTCTGACCGTGAGATGCGGTCAGTAAAAGTAGGAAAATAAGGATTCTGATCTTCATAACACAACAACCAATAAACAGTAGAGAAAAGTAATTAACACTCCTACGGGCGGTACATCTAATTTCTATCGCTACAATACACAGTCACGGTTATGAACATGTACCAGGTAAACCGCGCTGATGGATCCACCCAACATCCTTTATCAGCTGGACTTTGATAATAAGTGGCTTTCACAATGATGCCGGGTAGTAAAAGGATATGCTGGTAGATCATCGTTCCCAAACGGAGCGCCCGGCGAGGACCGTAGTATGGCGCGCTTTTTATGACAGCGGCCAAAATAATGCCCAACCGCGACTGATGCTGATGAACAGATGAATATTTACGGTAAGGGCTGCGACAACATAAATGCAGTAAATATAAATCGTGCAGGCCGCTCTTCCAATGGGCCAGGAAGTATACGGTGAAGGAACAACAATATTTTGAGGATTGGCTATCCGACATAGAGAATATTGCTGCATAACAGTGCAATGATGTACACATCAAAAGGCCGTAGTTGTTTTCTCTCACATAGGAGAATGATAAGGACTCCACAGTTAAAGAACAAGGTCACGGCTGTGGAAATGATTAGGCCGCGAGATAAAGAGTTCTCGATCGCATATGCCGTATTTAAGGTTAAATTCGTCTCTAATTCGTCTCTAATTGAAATGTTTAGCGAAAGATTATGTGCCATGTCGCCTGTGCGGTATACGGTATACTCCACTGTACGGCAATATTAAAAAATCAAACTGAATGCACACGCTAGCTAGCGACAAAGAAATTGCTACTCATGCTACACATCTAGCTTAATTTTGAAACAGTATTGTCTGGTTACTGCCGTGATATTTACGAATCGAATTGAAGATTGGGAGATTACTATAAAGCTATAGCTGTGAAAAATGCAAGGTAACGCCGAGACCCTGTTTTGATTTATCGAGAAGCATTAAACGCTTGTGGATGTTCATTGTAATAATCGTTTGTTTGACTGTTGTCACGTATATGAAGATTCCAACTAATCACTCAATACAACACATGACATGCTCGAATTTCCGGTTCTATTGATCCACGGGCGAGGGTGGAGTGCAGGAGGTTTCTATAAACTGTACAGGGAATAATAATTCCTTTTGAATTCACAATGTGACGGCAAATATCAGTGGCAATATTGCAACATTGAGGCACATGTGTAGTAGGTCGCAGGCAAAAACAAATATTCTTTTAACAAGAAGAGAGTAGGATTAAACGTTGATCGATTTATTTTGAGTCCCAAGCGGTTGGAGCAAAACGTATGTTACATTTTGTTATTGTAATCAAAAATCCCAACTAGGTGGCAGCATCACTGGTTTACTCGGTTTCCGCTACAATTTCCACCTGATTAGGCACCGGAACAACCAACATACTTAACATGCAAAAGGATCCCGTAACTTCAAGGTCGACCGGCCAATCGGATCGAAGAGATTGAAGATTGAAGACTTCAATCTGATTGAAGATTAAAGATTGAAAACCGGATCGATTGTTCGGCCGACACCATTACATTAATATATTCAATGATTCACGTAACTATTTACGGTCCCATGCTCGCAGATCTCATCTAGTGACTTCCCTAAACAATTTGTCCAATAAATGTAGGTAAATTACAAAAATTAGCAGTATATCCAGAAACGATAACGACTTTGAAAAATAGTAAATGGAGATAATTGTCGACGTACGAGCAGTAAGAACTGGAGAAATCCAGTAGCGTAGTTATCCATTCGGCACACTAAATAACTCCAGTAGTTACGAAAGTTTAAGTAATACTGCATAATAGGTAACTTTTCGTTAAATTCCAGCAACGGAAGCCGCTTTCCGTGACATCAGCACTGTTGCCACTGTACATCGTAAGTTAAGTGACTTGGTAGAATCCGTCTGCTTCTCAGGGACGCTTGTGCGGCCGGAACGGCTTAACGGAATGCCATCACAGGTCACCCGCCCAGGGGAAACCAGGGGAAATTAGAATAACGTTACAATAGTCCACGAGCAGCCTAGACGACAGACTTTATGACGAAGCGACTGATGATGATCCATGAATGTGTTTTTGCAAACGGTACAGGTTCGGCTCGCGGCGGAGTGATCTGGCCGTTGCCGATGAAAGAATTCTGGTGGTGCTACACCATATAAAACAACGACATCAGAGCAGTGCGTAAACCCTTCATGGTGCAAATAAAGAGAATGGGATCCATGAACATCTGCACATTATACAAAATTGCCAAGCCCGATATCAGTTCGCCGCTGACTTCCACAAAGTTAGCCACCGTTAATGTCAAAAACAGCGGTGTCCAGAAGACAGAGATACTCATAGTTAAGATTAAGAACACCACAGTCTGCCATTTTCGGGTGCTTTCCTCCGCTCGCAGACGCTGAAGGGGACCATTGCCGGCCGTCACCCTAGTGCGCCATTGTAACCGGCACAACACCAGAGGTGCTGTCAAAATAATTGTACTTGCGCTGACAATGTTGACGACAAAGATCAGCAATTCCCACACATGCAGAAACGGTGATTCTTCCGCATTGGGGTCACAATTGTCATAAACCTAATAAACGGCTTTCGTCACAACAATCGGCAAAGTCAGGGCGTGCGCCACTGTCCACACAGCTGCACAAACGAACACCGAAGCCTTCATGCTCTGGGCAACTCGATATAACAGTGGCGCATATAACGCGCAGATGCGGTTGAAGGCAATGGATAAATGGGATAATATCGGGATACAAGCCAACGTCCAGATACCGTAGGTGTACCAAATGCACCAGCTGGGCCCCAGCCACCATGCCGGGTACAGCCCAGCCACTATGTCGAGTAAGGCACCGGACAAAATGTACAGGATGTTACCCAAGAGAATATTGACCAGATACAGGTTGAACGAGGTCAGCAGTTCTCTGCGGATAAGAAAGACCAAAAGCACCACACTGTTGCATATCAGGGCGGCAATGGCAACGGCGCTAGAAGCCATGCTGCGGGTATCAAAAGTTGCTTTTACAGATACAGTGGCATTGGTGTTGGTTGTGTTCGAAACGGCGGCCATTACAACTGGATTGCTTCTAGTTTTGTCCTATTACTCGCAGCGATAAATAACTGTTCAGTCATATCCCGCCAGAAATTCGGCTGCAGTGACGGTTATTTGGGAAACAGTAAACAGCGCACGGAATAAGGCCACGAGTTGCCTGATCCTCGAGTGGCGATTAATAAATTATTTTAATCTTAACAGAAAACAAAATCTGATTAACATGATAATTCTTGTGCTGCTGTTCCCCTACTATAGTTAGCGATGACATATGCATGCTCAGAGTTTGGTTGCGCGGCGGTTTCTCCTCACTCTACAGAAAAGAAAGCGTGAGAACTGCTCGACGCTTCGAAGCACCAGCTGCAGCGGAAGTTTAATCCTCCTGCACCCAATATCCCGTATGCTGTATCCAATATCTTATACTTTGTCCAAGCGGAAGTGTATCCAACAGATACAACCATCCTGCATGCAACATTAGTTAGATTACTTCCACGCCCTAATCCCGATCAGCAATTTATTCCAAGAAATTCTTCTTCTTTGTAGTATCGCAGTTCTGCATTCATATGATATCCTTCCTAATTAATTCCACTGCTATATTGAGTTTACTGCTTTGGCTGATGAGAGCCGCACAATCAAATTTACCGCTAATTCGTTAATAAGCGTTACGAGGGATATGTCTGCGAGCAACTTCGGCGTACGATTTTTGGAGATTGAAGTGTGCCGGCATGGCCGAAGGTGCGCAATTGCAGCTAAGGTTCTCACCCGTGGGTACAGGTCACTCAAAGCCGGCCATCTTCCGCCGGTGCTCGGTATCTTCGCCTCCAAACAAACCCTTTCTCCGTAGAGGTTTGATCCCGAGAGCGTGTTGGATGTATTGCTCAACGAAGTTACTTTTCCAACAACCGGCGCGCTTGATTTACTTCTTTGGCAGCGATTGCGCAGCAGCTTCGGTCGCCGCTCCGATGCGAAATCTGTGTGTGTTAATCGGGCATGGTCCGGCTATGTCGCGTAGCCGCGACTACAGGATGCGGCCCGCCGCAGCGCGCATCGAGTTTTGACCGTTCTATATCAGAGGGACTGAGCCTAGTTGTCCGCCTGCCGGGCCCTTTGGTGGTAAAAGGCCGTGACGGCTCGTGTAGGGCAGACTTACCAGTTAGTAGCGGTGAGGGTAACTAATGCTCCGCCGCTGCCTTGGTCGGTTTTCGTCCGTTTCAGCGAGATAACGAGGGATCCTTCACCGACACACGTGGAGGTGGCGTCGTACGGAAGCCTGGTTTTGGGAGACGACTTCGCTGATGCGGGAGCGAAGGACGCCATGCATAAGGCTGTCGCGACCTAGCACATTACTGCAGAACCGCTCAGCACACATTGACAGCACACAGAGTACCACAATTCGTGGCAACTACCGGTATATGGTCACATCTTCCCCAGTGGGGAACCCAGTCACAAAAAAATAATTACAGCATCAGTAATAATACTAAAAAAGCAATTAAATTAACAAATGTTAAGCGTTTTCGGTTTCTCCACTGGCAACGCGAAGGTAATGCTTATTTCCTTTTTATGCGTTTGACTTTCTCACGTTTCCAATCTCATCCGGACTAATATCCGATTTGGTCTCGGCGTCCGCAACAGAGGCTGTTACCTCGCGGCTCGCACTGAACCTCGCTTGCTCGTGCATTATAGCCAATTCCGTCTCCGTATGCTGTGTTATGTTGTATTGCTGTTTACCCGTTCGTCGGTTCCACCAGCTATGCAACGGTTGTTTCAGTCGCAAAAAAACATTTCTGCATTAGCCATCTGTGAAGTTGTGAACCCTCGTTCGCGAAATTTTTTATAAAAAAATGGCGCACTTCAAATTATGTTTGACCAATAAAGCCCGGAAAAGTTTTTCTTTCCGTTTAACAATCAGCAAGGTGGTTCACATGTAGAAATCGATCAGTAACGTAACAAAAACATATTTAAAACACTGGTGGAAGTAGTTGCAAAGTACCGCTGTGCTTATTTTGTACGGAAGTTCATTACTCTACGTTTTATTTGGAGCTGGCATTTAACAACAATAATTATTATCAACCATTCTAAATACTGCGGTTCCTGTAGCCAGAACAAGCCACATATGAGCACCGTATTGAGCTGCAAATTAGTAAACATTCAGCAGACCGGCATCGTCGAATGTCAATAATTAAGTACCATGCCCACTACACGTGTCCATTTACTAGAGTTTAACGGGTACAAGACGCGGGTGAAAGCCGGCTTCCGTGTATAGCACGTCCTTCCGGTGCAGATGCTATTATAATCAAATTATGCTCGCAATTTCTTGAAGGACTCGTAGACTGGAACGATTGTTCAAATACCATGCACTATCGCGCGCAGCAGTCGTGAGGGGTCCACGTTTGGTGCAGATTAATTGCGATTGTGATGCATCAAAATCTGTGCTTTGAATCTTTGCAAATAGTAGGAAATACCGCTTGTCGGCAGCAGGATAACCCAAAGCCGGCTTTCTGGAATGTATTTTTGCCTGCAAAATAACAGGATGTTTGAACATAATCTATGTGTTTATTAAAACCGGTGAAGCATCAATAATCCAGAATTTGTCCACTAAAACAGCTGGAAAAAAGTTGAAGAAATTTATTAGGTCTTAAATTTTGTGATAGCTTCCAGTCCTTCCAGTTCAGATGCTATTATAATCAAATTATGCTCGCGATTTGCTCAAATACCTTTATGCGTAATAGCATCATTTAGTTTGAACTTATAAAAATCATTAATGTCTTTTTTTTTTGCTAAATGCAGTGATTATTTGCATGAGAAAGGCCAAGAAAAATCCGACAGCAACAGCATACTCAGTTACTCACTATTTCCTTGCATCAAATCGATTATCCTGACAAATATATCTGTATACATAATAATAATTATGATTAATAATAGTAAATTGGACTATCTCAAGATGATACGGTGTCATACCGACTATCATTGCATCGGTTGTTGGCTGACGACCAGATTTGGTCGCTTTATCCTGCCTGTGCACCATGTAGGCAAATATCTCTTCCAGTATCCAAAACTTAGGCAGAGTAACACCGGATCCAGCAAAGCCTGCAGACTGAACAGAGTATTTCCAACACTGCTTAAAGTCTCCAGTCCGGCTGGTGAAATGAAGCCAATCAAAATGTAATAAACCATGTTGGGAATCCAGCAGACCGTAACACATGCGGTCAGCAGTGTTAGGGCCACGAAGGGCCGCGAGCGCCCCATCTGGCGAGATGCAGATCTCGCTGACTTTCCAGTTCTTTCAGCGTAGCTGGTTACGGTGTCAATGCGGGAAGCGGCCAGCGTCCTCCGTCGCACAGCTTTCCATAGCAGCGCAGGATAACAAGCAGGAATAAGCAACTTGGGCACATCATACACAATTACGGTTATGAACATGTACCAGGTGAACTGCGCTGCTGGGTCCACCCAGCACCCTTTATCAGCTGGACTTTGGTAATACGTGGCGTCCACAATGATGCCGGGTAGTAAAAGGATATGCAGGTACAGGATCGTGCATAAACACAGCAGCCCAGCGACGATTGACGTGTGTCGCGCTTTATATGACAACGGCCAAAACAGTGCCCAACCGCGGTTGATGCTGATGAGTAGATGAATGTGCACGGTAAGGGCTGCGACAATATAGTTGCAGTAAATGTAAACCGTGCATGCCGCTCTCCCAATCGACCAGGAAGTGTACGGTGAAGGGACAATAATATTTAAAAGATTGGCTATTCCGACGTAGAGAATATTACTGCATAACAGTGCAATGATGTACACATCAAAAGGCCGTAGTTGTTTTCTCTCGCGCAGGAGAATGATAAGGACTCCACAGTTAAAAAGTAAGGTCACGAGTGTGGAACTGATTAGGCCGCGAGATAAAGAATTCTCGATCGCATGTCCCGTAGTTAAGGTTAAATTCGTCTCTGCTGAAATATTTAGCGAACAGTTACTGGGCATTTTGCCTAAGGTAACCAGTGCGGCACACTCCACTGTACGGGGACAATAAAGATTAAAACTGACCACACGCTTGTTAGCAACACAGAAATCGCTGTTACTGTAAACCTATAACTATGAGAAATGCAAGGTAACCTCCAGACCCTGTTTCGATTTCTCGAGAAGCATTAAACGCTTGTGGGCGTTCATTTTAAGAATTCTTTATTTGTCTATTGTCGCCTAGATGAGCGGATGTACAAGATTTCAGGTGATCACTAAATATAACACATGACATGCTCAAATTTCCGGCTATATTGCTCAACGAACGAGAGCAGAGTGTAGGAAGTTAATCCATACGCTGTAAAATAAAAGAAAATCTCTTTGGGATTCACATTATGACGGCAGTATTCATAATGACAGCGTTGAGGCACATGTGTAATAGGTCGCTGGCAAAAACAAGCGTTCTCTTCACAAGCAGCAAATGGGATTAAATGATGATCGATCTTGTTTCGAGTCTAAAGAGGTTGGAGCAAAAGGTATGTTATATTTTGTTAAATCCCAATAAATTATTCAATCACTCTGTAATTCCCAACAAATCGGTGGCAGTATCACTGGTTACGCTATTATTTCAACCTGATTAGTCACTAGAATAACTGATATACGCAACGTACAAAAGGATCCCGATATCTTCAAGGTCGACCGGTGGACACCACCATTACTTTACTACGAGGATCCACATAATTATTCACGGTGCCATGCTCTCACGTTCCTACAGAAGTCCAACCCAAATTCTAAGTAAGATGAGCAAACAGCTTTTTTTCGGACGCAGATTTTCAACGACGAGTTATCGAGATTTTTTAATTACCAATCATTGCCAGGTGACCTATGGCTAATAAAACACTCAGCACTCCCATAGTCAATGTAATCCAAGATATACCTGTAGATGTAATACGAGTACATGTAATGTACTACAAAACATCATGCAGATGTACCGTGCAGTACATGAGACAAGTTAGATAACAGTTTTTCCGACTTGGAAACATTAATTGCGGTTTGGATAGGGTGTGCTTCACAAGGTGTAAAAAAATAAAAAGGTTATAAGTAATAAAAAAACCATCCTTCAGTTATCGTTTGTTATTTGCACGTTTGTACTGTAAATGATCAAGTACGGTTGACGTTTTCCCCAACATTTCCGCAAAGCAAAATATTCTTTCAGGTAACAATCCGCTTTTTCAGCAGAAATTTGCGGTTTTATCTACGTGCTGACGCATTTGGCAGGAGTGACGATTTGCCAGTTTAAGGACTGAATATTAGTAGCTTTCATATCCGGAATATTGATTCTTGTATAAACCAGTACAAGTTCTTGGATAAACGTTAATGTTTGTAGCCGTAATGGGAAAAAGTCTCAGGAAAATGTCGGGCAGTGGATTGGTATTGCTTGGAGACATATTTCTTGACACAGGTTATAACAACTAACTTGTCCAGTTAAACCTCCTCTGAGCAGAAACTGCCCGTTTCGCACGTTGGCATTTGTATTTTATTACATTGCTTTACTGGCCTTGAAATGGCACACAAAGAAGCAAAAAACATTTACCATTTGAAATGATATCAAAACGTTCATAATACTGTGTTCTATAATTATTTTTATAAAAACGCTGAAGAAAAGAGAAGCCAAACGCCTAAGAAGGCACCCAGTTTCAATATGCTTCAATACGTAGAAGCACCAGTTATTGCACCGGCGATTGGTTTACGGCCATTCTTGGTCGCTTATTCCAGCCTTTCCAAAACGCAACAATAGAACTCTTCAAGTTGCGAAAACTTAGACACAGCATTATCGGGTCTAACATGGCCTGCAGACCAAACAGTGTATTTGCCACGCTGCGAAAAATATTCAGACGGGCTGGCGAAATGAAACTAACCATTATATAATAAACCATGATCGGAACCCAGCAAACCGTAACGCATAAGGTCAGTAGCGTCAGCACAACAAATGGCCGTGAACGCCTTTTCTGACGTGATGGGGCGTTCGCTGATATCCCGGCTCCTTCAGTGGCGCTGGTTGCCGTATCGACCCGAGAATTAGCTAAGCTTCTCCATCGTATCGTTTTCCATAGCAGCACAGGATAACAAGCAGGTATAAGCAATTTAGGCACATCATACACAGCAACCGTCACGAACACGTACCATGTGTACTGTGCTGTTGTATTCACCAAACAATTTTTATCAGCCGGGTTTCGATAGTACGTGGCGTCCAGAATTATTCCAGGCAGGAGTAAAATATGCAGATAAATAATCGTGCATAAACACCGCAGCCACACGAGGGCAGAAGTGTGCCGTGTTTTATATGACAGCGGCCAAAACAGCGCCCATCCAAGACTAACGCTAATTAACAAATGGATGTGCACCGTAATCGCGGCCACGACATAGACGCAGTAAATGTTCATTGAGCAAGCGGCCCTGCCAGCTGAATTTAAAGTATACGGTGAAGGGACTATTTTTAAAGGATTGCTTATTCCAACGTAGACAATGTTACTGCATAAGAGTGTAATCAGGTACACATCAAAAGGCCGTACCTGCTGTCTTCCTTGCAGCAAGACGACAAGAACTCCACAGTTAAGAAGTAAGGTCACGAGGGTGGAGCTGATCAATCCGAGGGACAGAGGGCTCTCGTTAGTTAACGTTAAATTCATTATGACTGCGGAAAAATTATGCGAAATATTATTCTTCATTTCGTCACACCGGGCAAATGCAGTTTTATCGGTCAAACGATTATATTAAGAGCACAAGCATGAAATCCGAGCGCTAATTAACACTTGGTTGTTAGCAGACTGCATTATAATTAGACAACACGAAAAGTAAATCAAAACTGCATTTCGATTAATCGAAAACCAGCAAATGCGTTGATCGTGTCTGTCTCTAAAATTCCTCACTTGTCTAATTGTCGTGCAAAATCACGGGTGTCCACAACTCACATTACAGTACGAGCACAGGTTTCCAGCCCAGTTGATCGGTGAGCAAGGGCGGAAAACACCAGGCTTCCGGCAACCTATACAAAAGAGGAATGAATTAATTTGGACTCCAGACCGTGACAACCGTAATATTAACAGCGGCACTGACGCGCACTATACCGCGTCCAATTACAGCATAATGCAGTGTTCAACGCCTGCGAGGTCTGCGGCCCGGCAGCTACAGATTAATTATTGCAACCTCAACTAACCTTCGAAGTAACCGGCAGGAGTCAAAAACAAGCATTCTTTCAATAAAATGAGAAGGGGAGAGTCAAGAGCGATCGATGCTTGTTTTGAAATCCAAGCGGCGAAAGCAAAAGGAGTATGTATGCAATTCTAATCAGAGAATATTACAATTTAATCTTTGAGGGAAACACTGGTCCCGCCATTCTAAAGTATTAATATACTATTTCCACTAAGCCATCGACTGGAAGTAGGCCAGCCAGTCAGTGTAAAATAAGCTTACTCGTTACAATTATACAACCGTGTTTTATTACTCGTACACTAGATTCAGGAAAAATCAATGTTCCTTGTACCTAATTCAAGAGCACAAATTTAAAGGTCACTCGTGACATGAAAGAGGTGCAGCGATGGTTTTGACAGTTTTCACAATTTCAATTAAACCGAAAACAATATCACCAAATGAAAACCTGAAATTATATCACGGCTGCAACAAGGGCAGGTGTAAGCTGTTGGACCAAATTTATGGTACGATTTATTCTTTCTACTCACAGAACAGCCGTTAGTGTCTTTTTGCGCATGCCGTCCACGCATGTAGCCATATATGTCGACGTAACAGATTGGTTTGCGTATCTTTCTATCTACTCGTAGACACTCGTATTTAATGGGTTAAAGAACAACACAAATGTTACAATGACTTTGACATTACACAGTGATATAGAAAAGCCTTTTCCAATTTCCAGCTTTACCAACCCTCATTCGGGAAAATTTTTAGTTAATGCCCGGTTTGCATGACAGAGAGGCAGAGAACAAGTGCAAAAGATCAGCTTGTACAGACAAATAGATTTGCGCACCAAGAAAAATACATCAAGAAAAATACAGTTTACCAATAACTCAAAAAGTACCATGTGTCGGAGGTTATGGCAACGACTGCTGGTTTTTGGCCTTTTTTAACCGATTATCCCAGGCTTTCCACAACGCAACCATGTAGCTGCTCAGACCACGAAAACTTAGGCAGAGCAATACCGGGTCTAGCAAAGCCTGTAGACTAAAAAGGGTATTCGCCACACCGCGAAAAGCGTCCAGCCTGGCGGGCGACACGAAGCCAGTCATTATATAATAAACCAAGCTCGGAATCCAGCAAACGGTGACACAAATGGTCAGCAGCGTTAGCGCAACGAACGGCCGCGAACGCCCTTTCTGACGGGACGAAGCGTCTGTTGATCTTCCGTTTCCTTTAGTGTCGCTGATAGCTGCATCAACTCGAGAAATAGCCAGTGCTCTCCTCCGTATCGCTTTCCATAGCAGTAGAGGATAACAAGCCGGAATAAGCAACTTGGGCACAGCATACACAGCAACGGTTACGAACATACTCCAGGTGAACTGCGCCGTGGAATTCATCCAACATCCTTTCACAGCTGAAACTCTATAATAAGTGGCGTCCAGAATTATTCCAGGCAACAATAAAATATGCAGGTAAATGATCGTGCCAAAGCATAACAGCCAGGCAAAAGCGGTAGTGTGACGCGCTTTATATGACAGCGGCCAAAACAAGGCCCATCCGCGGCTGATGCTGATGAGCAGATGAATGTGTACCGTAATGGCTGAGATGACGTAATTACAGTAAATGTTAACGGTACATGTCGCGGTTCCAATCCACCATGACGTATACGGATTAGCAATTTTCAGAGGGTTGTTTATGCCGACGTAGGAAATGTTGCTCAATAACAGCACAACGATGTATACATCGAAGGAAGTTTTTTGTCTTCGTTCACGCAGAAGAACAGCAAGCACTCCGGAATTAAACAATAGAGTCACGACTGTAGTACTCACCAGGCCGAGAGAAAGTGACTGCTCACTTGTCTTCGCCGTAAGCAACGTTGAATTCTCTAACACTGCCAAAAGATTCAGCGAAATATTACTGGTCATTTTTGTCGCAGCTGCGTGACCACAAGAGTATCCAGTTCAGTGCGGGAACTAAAATACGCCCCACTAGGCAAAAAGACAGGTTCAAAGATTTTTAAAAAAAGCTTTGATGCGTTGCTGTACGAGGTGGCAAGAAAAATGAGTGAGCTTAAAAAGTATCTCTCTACAGTATACTGGTTGTGGTTATATTCTTGGGTGAGCTGCAAGCACTGTAATTGTGTACACCCAGTATCCGTTCAAAATGATCCGTGAAAGAAGTACATGATAGAGGTGGATGGCTCGATGGTTTTACACTGATTTGGTAATCGGCATCACCCCTTATTACCGAGCCAGATTGAGAGACATTTGAGACATCCTGTACACGGTAATTCTTGTCCTGCGTTTCGGGAACTCCCAAAATCATGGCGTCGTTTCAGCTTGGATTGCCTTAGAACCGCTTGTATTCGAAAACGAGCCGTTATTAACAGGAAAAGAAAGAGAACAACCGGTAATTGATTTTTGTTTTTCAACCCTTTTACCCTTTCATTTCAAAGGAGACTGATCTTAGCGGAAACTGCTGTGGGTAATACGACACTTTCGGAAAAATTAGCAGAAAAATTTAATCAGAACAAGGGACAATCTCGGTAACGAGCAACGTAAAACTCCACATTGACTGCCACAACAAAAAAGATGATGTTTATCATGTTTACCACGTTGTCAATCAGAACTAAAATGCTATTATTATTATTCTTGATTCCAGCATTCGACTGCTTAACTTAAATGTGAAGTACCGGTACATTGTTGGCAATAGCCAACTGCCTGTTTCACCGTGCTGTATGAAACATCTCACAATATCGGTGTCTGCGCTTGAGTCTGTTGCAGGTAACACTAGATCCTCCGAGCGTCTAATGAAACATCCATGTCCCATAAAACCGGCCCCAACGACTCTCTGTGGAATAAAGGTGACCACTGACCACAAATCCTATGTCAACACCCTCGTCTCCATCTGGAATGAGCTTCCTTTGCCGCCGATAGCCTATGTCACATTAACAGCCTTTTCCGAAGCCCTGGAAACCGTGAAGTTGAATGAGCTGCCATCGACTAAAATTTTAAAAACTAACCGTTCCTCAGAATACCGCTTATCTGTTTTCTCTTGTGTTTGGTGTAAATTGGTTCTATTAAGAAACTGTTACATAATACCGTTGCGATTTATCGTCAGTTGAAACCGAACAGAAAGGCGATTACGTGCGTAAGTGTCCTTGCTTTCCTTTTTCCCACAGTTTCTTTTGAAAATTTTACTTTTGAAAATTAATGAATTTAACTTTGTGTGGGTTTTGGTTTTATGCATCGACCCCAGCGCGATCGTCTCCCTCCCTTTATTTCAATAAGTAGCATCAACTGATCGCAACCGAGTTACGAATGTTCTTTTCCGCCTATGTTCGAATGTTACTGCATGCCGCCGACAAGTTTTACCTACATAGTACATACCATTGTTGGTTTTGCGCTTAAACTTCTTAATGTTTCATCTCTCTACTTTGTTTGACTTCTGTGTCTGTAGCCTAGAGGGAGCAACTGCTCCGTGCAAAGGACAATAAACTTCCATTATTATTATTATATATTGCATGAAATATCTAACGCCCCGTTATTTGCACAACATTTTTAGAATAAATAATGCAGCTATTTCTTAGGATTCGTATATCGGTTGAACAACAAACTTAAACAAATTTAAGTAAGCCAGGGGTGTTGCTGCATTTCGAAATACAATTATTGTAAACGTATACATCCACAAAACCAAAACAAAATTAACAAAGCAACATTATTGTTTTATCCAATTATCGGTGTAATGGGATCCCCTTTTTTTGCTCTTCATTCACATACAATTATTTGAAGTGATTAGTGTAATTCCTTACACAAATACATTTTTACATAAGTGTATGATTTATACGAGTAAATCACAATCGAATACTGTATTGAATGCCAATGAATGGTGCAATATACAGTACTTTTTTAGCCTCGTATCGTTCAGCAAGCTGACAAGTCGGCTAGTGTGCTCGGTTTAAACCGGCGGCATGTGACAATGGATTTTAACTTCGAAGTACTGTATGTATTGTACGTAGTACCAACGTAGTACCAACCAACCAATGCTTGAGAGTATTCTTCAGTGTATTGGATAAAGCGGCTCAGTGCGAGACTGCGAGTACAGTATCATCGCACTCGTACATTGAATATAATGCGTTCAGACGGTGTACTGAATGCCGTAGCTAGAGGGCAGAGCGAAGCCACTGTCCGACGTGATAATTTTTTATGCACTGCGAGTCTCACCAGTCAGCACGAGTACGATACCTTGTTAGCCGCTTGCAACATCCTATGAGTATCTCCTAACCCAATAAAACTGTATTGCATTTTTTTAAACCAATCTGAAAGCTAATATTCATACTTCGACGTATTTTATTATAAAAACAGCAGCAGTACCTTCTTACTCATGTCTTAAACTCAAACTGATGGAAACTAACTTTTCAGAAATGTTGGAAGAACACGCAAATCAAACGCTGAAGGATGGGATGAACGCCAGCAGCGCTCCAAATGTTCCGTTCGCCATCTCCTGCCTTCTTGGCACAACCGTCGCGACCCTGGCAACGAACTGCGGAGTTCTTGCAGTATTTCTCATCAACAAATCTCTTCGCACGGCGTTCAACGTCTACATCATGGCTCTATTATCTGCCAACATAATCTTTGCCGCCGTCGATGGTCCGTTGAAACTGCTAGCCTACCCGTATCCCGACTGGCGACTGGGACCGGCAGTATGTACGTTGCGCATTTACAGCGTCTACATCATCGCCGCCATGGCCATTCATTTCCATCTGCTGATCACCCTGAACCGCGTCTGGGCAATGTTTTGGCCAGTGTCCTACCGTAACTCCCACTCCACCGCCCTGGCGTGGTGTTTATGCGGCGGCACGGTGTTCTATCTGCATGTGGTGCTGCTACCCGGAATCCTGCTGGACGCGGTGTATTATCGTATTTCTGTTGAACGAGGCTGTTGGCTGGATTTCTCACGGCAGTTCGCCTGGGCAACGTTTACGTCGTGGTGGGTGTTCATTGGTCCCAAAGTGTTCATTCCCATTTGTTATCCGTTTCTCTGGAGGAAAGAAATGCGTCGAAGAGCAATTATAGCGGCCGGTCAACGGTTTGCGGAGATGACGATGACGTCGACTCCTCCGACGCCAGCGGACATGACGACCGCCCCGGCGCGTCCACAACGAAGCCGTTTGCGACCGTTCATCGTGCTGACTTTATTTACCATCAGCATTATCGTCTGCTGGATGCCGAGTCTGATGTACTACCAACTGCTGAATTTCGTTTCGATGGACAAGCTGAAGACGTTTGGGAAAGTCGCGGACATTTTATATTCGCTGCAAGGTCTACTGGATCCGGTTTTTGTTTGTCTGAGTCTGAGTAAGATGTACCATCACGTGATGCGTTTGGGGAGGGTGTGCGTCTCGCAGGCAGAGCCATACAAGGCCGCTCGCCAAGATTTATGCGAAAAGTTACAATACAATAACTGATACAATCCATGCATTATTTCTGGCTTTAATCGCGTTACGGATTGATGGTTCACTGAAGTTTTACTTATGTTTTATCGATGATATCTCAGCAATACGTAATGCATTTATCAATTGTACAGTGAAAAAGCAAAGCAGTTAAGCAAATGAAAATGATATTCGTGTTTGTGCCCGTGCTTAACATACAAACGATATACGCAAATTCCGCAAATAGCATGTCCAGCCGACAGTTCTTGCGATTTACAACGGTTGCTGGTGCACGACATTTCGATTATCCCAGCTTTCCACAACGCAGCAACATAGCTGCTTAGTTTTCGGAAACTTCGGCAAAGAAATATCGAGTCAAGCAAACCCTGTGACCAAAAAGAATACTCGACACCCTGCGCAAAGTCTCCAACTTTGCCGGTGAAACGAAACCTACCCGTAGGAATATGTAATAAATCATGGCTCGGAAGTCGGAATCAAGCAAATCGTAACACATAGGGCCAGCAATGTCAGCACAACAAACGGCCGCGAACGTTCTTTTTGTCGGGGTGTGACGTTTGTTGATCTGGCGACGCATTCATTGCCGCTGGTTGTTGTACCAGTCCAAGAAATGTTGTACCAAGCGATTTTCCACGAACTGCTTTCCATAGCAGCACCATATAAACGACGAAAATTAACAATTCTGGCACATCATGTGGCAGGTGTGCTGTGCCTTGCAGTTCATCGTCCTATGTACATCCATTATCCGCCAGACTTTGATAATAAGTGCCGTCCAGGATTATTCCAGGCAGCAAATAAATGAGATATGCAGATAAATAATGCGAAGATCGTGCATAAACACAGCAGACAGGCAAAGACGGAAGTGGGACGCGCTTTATATGCCCATACAATGTTGACGCTAATCCAGAGAACGACCTGTTGTGTAATCGCTGAAATGATGTAACTTAAGTATATATGTAAAGCATGCACGCGGCGACTCCAGTTCACAGCGACGAAGCAGCGCTGTATTGTTGCTGAATAGCAGCGCTGTAATGTATACGCCTAGGGGCGTTTGCTGTTTTCTTCCACGCAGGAGAATAGCAAGAACTCCAGTTAACCAATAAAATCACGATGGCAGAACTGATCCGCCCGAGCGAAGTGAGTTCTCGCTCATATTTGCCGAAATTACTGTTGGTTTCTTTCTTAATGCCGAAAAATGCAGCGGACGATTACTAGTTGTTTTAGTCACGCCGGACCAATACGCTTTCCTCCAACCCGGCTGCATTTTATTTAAGGATCATCGATACTGTGCCCAGATCCAGAAGCTTACGCGATCGGCGGTTAGTTGAAACATCAAGTGGTACAGCTATTCAAGTGACATGGTGACGACCATCTGACACGTGATCAGTTGATGAGAACGTATAGCCGGAATAGGTATAGCCGTATAGCTGTAGCCTGGAAGTGTCCGAAATATGAGAAAAAACGGAGGAAATGTGTTATGAGGACGTCATAGGCGCAGCGTTCGGATTCTCCATGCTCCCCGATGGCCGCTGGGCGGTGTCACTCGGAACGCCAACTTGATTATTTCTTGTTCTGCCGAAGAGTCGGATTGCGTAAACCCGTACATCGTCCAAAGTGAGACAAAATATTAGTGGATCAAGGATCGGTTGTAAACTGTACAGATTTGATGTGATTTGGAACACGACCGGGCCCATGTGGACAGTGGAACTGCTGAGAATAGTGTAGTAGCAAATACTAGGCAACCAGCACACCATCGTACTGCAGGTATACAACGTCAACAGTAAGAAGGGACGGTTGAAAGCTTCATGGTTAGCGGTACTGTTATTCGGCCTATTCGTCGTCCGTCGCCGGAACAACATCTTGCACAGCAGGATGGGATAGGCAACATAAATTATCAGACAGGGTACGGTGAAAACCCAAATGGTCGTGAACAATGTTAGAGCAAACTGACTGGCAGTATTCAGCTGGCAGCCCTTCTCCAACGGCAGACGATAGTATAAGCGATCGCGAACCAGTTGCGGCAGCATAAACGCATGTACATAAGTCACCACCGCGCCGCAAAGTATGCCGGCGGTGGTGCTGTTATGCCGGTCACGGTAAGAGACCGGTACGAAAAGCGCCCAAGCGCGGTTTAGCGTGATCAGCAAATGAAAGTGGTAGATCAGAGGGACGAATACGTACAAGGAATACAAGCGTAAGGTGCACAGGGTAGGGCCCAGCCAAGACGGGGCGTAAGAGTCCGCGATGGCGAGCATTATACGGTTCACAGAGACAAACGACACATTACTGCACGTCAAAGCTACAACGTACATATTGAAGGGCGACCGCAGTGAGGTCTTGGTCAGCGTTAAGAGCAGCGCCAGGAGATTGAACGTCAAAGCAAGTATCCCGGTGCTGAAGAGACTGGCAGGTAATGAGCGTCCAACTGATGTGTTGTACGGCGGTGGGAAAGATCCCATTGAGTTATTGCGGTGTACCGAGAGGGTAGACAGATTTTGAGCTGTTGTTATGTTGCCATCCATTTGCGATGATAAAATTAATGTACTGTATTATCAAAGGGCTTTTGCAGAATGTTTGCGCAAGCAAAACAGAAGAAATTATGGTCAGTAGTATTACTGGTACGGTACCTTGGGAGGAGACAGTAAAATTAACGGCACGAACGTTTGGTTCTCGGGCAAGGTAAAATAGGTTTAAGACAAAATCAACACTGCGTGCTTGATATTATCGCCAAGAAGGCCTTTTAAAATAATTATAGCGCTTTGAGGGGTTCATCGAAATTTCTTCGACATGCCACAAACTAACATCCGGTTCAAAGGATAACCATGAGAGCGCAAACAGCACCGTGATAAAGTCAACTATCGCTGACAGAGTAAATGGAGTTTCCGCACTTGCAGCCGGCAGACACGTTTACAAGTTAATGGTTTAAAACCTAAGAACCGCATTCCAATCCGCTACCGCTGATGGTTGGTTAAAACTTCGGATGTTTGGTTAAACTTTTAGGTGGTCGATGAAAATCTGTGGTTTATCGATTCAACAGGAAATTGGAAAAGCAAAAACATTCGAGAGACTCCATAATATGTCAATGAATTATGTCAAGGCACTCAGAGTTGACATTTAGAGCCGAACTGCTTTTGTAAAACAATTACGACATCGTCCAGATAAATAACGACGTGAAGATAAAAGTATCTCATGTAGGTTATGACCGGAGCGTAGCGACGGTTTTCTATTTCAACAAAAATAGAAAACTATTTGTCTGCAGAACTGACTTTATGCGTTTGCTTCTGCTGTACCGGCGATTTCCGCATCTTTGCTGCTTCCGGTTGCTCTACAATTTAAACTGCGTAAAGGATCGCTCACTACAAAAGTCAGTTCAAAATTTCAAATCACCTCCCTTGTTGATTTGTGATTTCCGATCGGACTGTATATGTGAAGAACCTATTAAATTCACTTCCTATCAAGTTTTGCTCTGCAAAAAGCTACCAAAAAAGCTTGACAGAGATGGAGTATTGCAAAACGACCCCTTACAGAAGCCTTTATTTTAGGGGCGTCTAATTATTCATAAATCATGAAAGGCCCCTAACTGATGAAATACATGTTACGGGGCTTTGGTCGCGTCACAAAATGACGGCCCGGTGTAGCTTTAATTGTAATGTATTGACGATATCGTACTCTAAGCAGGGCGCAATCCAAGGGAAATCGAGAAACGGCTGAAAAAGGCGCCGATGGGGGAATCGAACCCCGGCTACGTCGTTAGATCCGCGTAGGCAGTACCACTGCACCACGGCGCAATACGTTGAAATCCTTTGAAAGATTTTGTCGCTGTACGTGAGCCGCTTCTCCGCTCACAGTACCAATACGTGTTCAATTCACAGTTACATGAAAATGTCGCTTGTGTTTGCCCAAACAACCAGACAAACACATGACGATACACAACTCTGAAAGTTTCATGTTCGGTCGACAGTAATAATAACGTCGGGGTGTGATGTTTGTTGACCTCCCGGCGCATTCAGTGCCACAGGTTGTCGTACCAGTCCAAGAAATGCCACGCGTTTTTCCACGTACTGTTTTCCATAGCAGCAGCGGATAAACTGCGGGAATTAGCAATTTTGGTACATCATATACCACGACTGCCACCAGCATGTACCAGGTGTACTGTGCTTTCCAGTCCACCGTACATCCTTTATCCTCTAAACTTTGATAATAGGTGGCGTCCATGATTATTCCAGGCAGCAGTACAATATGCAAATAAATTACCGTGCATAACCACAGCAAACAGGCAGAGACGGAAGTGTGATGCGCTTTATAAGACAACGGCCGAAACAGTGCCCATCCAATACAGAAGCTGATTAAGAGATAGACATGTATCGTAATCGCTGAGATGACGTAATTGCAGTAAATGTAAAGCATGCATGCTGCGCTGCCAATCCACCATGAGGTGTACGGGAAAGTGAGCATTTTCAGGGGATTGTTGATGGCGACGAAGAGGATGTTGCTCAAAAGCAGCGCTGTCATGTACACATCCAGGGGCGTTTGCTGCTTTCTTCCGCGCAGGAGGACACCAAGAATTCCGCCGTTAAACAATAAGGTCACGATTGTAGAACTGACCAGCCCGAGGGAAAGTGAGTTCTCGCTCATATTTACCGTAGTTGCTGTTGTATTCATTCTTGCTGCCGAAAGATGCAACGAAAGATTATTGGTGGCATTATCCACGGCAGACCAGTACGCTATCCTCCACCTCGGCTGCATTTTGGCAGCCACGGCAGACCAGGACGCTATCCTCCACCTCCTCCACCTCGGCTGCATTTTGTGCAAGAATTACCAAATCCAGAAGCGTATAGGCGATCGGCGGTTATTCCAGTGACACGTCAATGATGTTACACGTCTGACCGGGTCCAGCTGATAAAAAAGCGCTCTCAACGTGACCGAAATATGAGACAAATAGTAGGTAGTGTTCAAGCTAAAAAATATACCACTCAAAGCACTGCGGGAACAGGAGAAAGCCCGAGCTGTGCTTCAGTGTACTCTGTAGGTGATGTTGGTATCAATTAACGTTCCAAAAGACGGCAGCAGAACGGCGTCAGAAAGCATATAAAAAATTTCTAAAGGAATTGTTTGAATTTCCAAAAACACAAATTTACCTGTAAACTTTTGCTTCGTAGAAAACGTACAGTGTTCTGAACGATGTTACACTGCCACTACTTTTGAGTGCGCAGACCACCAGGAGCAGCCAGCATTCGTGAATCATGTCAATCTGTCTTATTTTATATGATCTGAATTTTTCCTTGCCCTGCAGTGCAAAAAACTTGTAACTTGGCGAACCGTGAAGACCTATAACCCCTGCCGGTTTAAGGACGCTGTTGAACGTATTTTCCTGACCTCCGCCCGTGCTTACGGAAACACTAAAAACTGTTGTACAGCCGCACTCGTTCGTTGCACCAAATGCTTATTTGCGCGGAACTATGTCTGCAAAGAGACACTTCTAAAGGGAATTCAGGCGTAAGAATTTTGAGAAATGGAATTCGGTAGCATCTACGACAACAACAACAACTGAAAAGGTGAAATTATGGTTATTATTCTCACATCCCCTGCCACAAAAGCAGGTTGGGTTATTGTCAGCTCGTCAGCCTGAATCGAATTTAACTGCCTTATACCTGATGCAGCGTTCGATTAAACACTCTAGGGTAGTGTATGAAAGCAGCAGAATTAATTGTTTTCGATGATACTGAGATTTCGATGTACAGTAATTAAAATCAGGTGGCTGCTATGCGTCCCGGCCAACATAGACTTTTGCTGTACGCCCGGTCTTCGGGCGCATTGAATTTGGTTTTGCGCCTCCTGTTTTCGGGTGCAGAAATATCGACTATTTTCGATTTTTTTAACAACTGTGTTTTTGTCATGAGGGTTTATTGCTTAGTTAGCTACTCAAATTAAGAAGATTTCAAAATCAGTACGAGTATCAACTTCCAGAAGTAAAGGCAGGGTCAGCTGGCCAGAACAAGCGGCAGTCGCGTTTTCTCTTGTTTTGCACTATTGTTAATGCAAAGCTTAGCACAGTTGGCTTTGTCTTGTGATACCATCAAATACGGCACAGCCTATTTGTTCGAAGATAAAGAACGATAAGATTATAAGAACATACGAAACATCCAAACGTTAGGTGACTGGTGATGCACGCTTCCCAGAAAGCGGAATCTGGACAGCATGGGAAAGTGCTAGCTTTATTGTACCACTCCTCAGGCGCATTTCGACTTCAACCTCTATAGCTTTGAAAGCGGTAACGCGCATGAGAGCAGGACGATCTATCGTGGCTCAACCTGTGCATTTTTTTTCGTGCAATTTTGCTAAGAATCAAGGTGCCAAACTCGGCGTGTGACGTTTAATTTTAAAAGACATTTTCAATAAACCAGGCGATAAAACAAGGAACCTGTAAGGGTAACGACAACAGGTATAGAAAGTAAAGAAACTAAGCAAAAACAAAATCTACCGGAAAAACATGGAAATTTCAATTTTTTTGAAATTAAACCTCGATCCGTCCAGACATACGAAGCGCAAAGTCAAAGTCTGTGCGCCCGGACAACCTGGACGCGTAGCCTATTCAATGCGCCCCGTTCGATGGGGCACACAGCCATTTTGTTAAATTAATATTTGAAACAAAGCACATAATATGCCTGTTTGGTAGTAGATAACACCGTAACCTAACATAGGCAACACTTGCTTAGTTGTGGAAAAACAACCTGTGCCGCTAATATTTGTCCATCCGTTATTTAACGGTAGAACTCAAGCAATCATCTTATTGTTAGCTTATTTAGCAAAGCTGATTGCTTAAGTTCTGCCATATGCATGCATACGGCGATATACGCACTTGTACTTAGTTATCGTAGGTACATCGTAGGTGCTTCGTATCTAACAGCCAGTTCCGTAAATCTCTTTGGCACCGGTGTTGAACTGTGGTACGAGCTGTATGATTGTATTAAAGCGTTCAAAACCTGCTTCAGCAAAACATAGCTCAAGGGTGGCCATTGACCCACACTATTCTTTCTGCATTCTAGCCGTAGATATTAAATTCCATTCGTTGTGAATCTTGCTAAATTATTATTGTTAGCCACTTGCACTTCAGGTTGCTAAAGGCGACCAACAGCCTATATCTTTAGCTCTTCACCGAGTGTAATTTGAAACGAATTGTTTTTAGGCTCATTTTCAATGTTCACTCTGCATGACTGTAACAAATACATTCAGTCTGCAGCAACAGCTAGTCGAGACATTCTCTTTTCACTCAAAATAATGGAGGCCAACATTTCCTACCTGCTGGAACGATACGCGAATCAAACCCTGCTCAAGGGGATGACCAACGCCAGCAACGCGACTCCTTACCCATTCGCCATCTCCTGTCTTTTTGGCACAACCGCAGCAACGCTATTAGCTAACTGTGGAGTTCTTTCGCTGTTCATCATCAACAAATCTCTCCGCACGCCGTTCAACGTCTATATCATGGCTTTGCTGTCTGCCAATATTGTCTTTGTCGCCGTCGATGGTCCGCTGAAACTGTTGACGTATCCGTACCCCGACTGGCGGCTGGGAGCCGCCGTATGCACATTGCGCATCTACACCGTATACATCATCGCCGCCATGGCCATCCATTTCCACTTGCTGATCACATTGAACCGCGCCTGGGCAATGTTTTGGCCGCTGTCCTACCGGAAGTACCACTCCACCGCCGTGGCGTGGTGGGTTTCTGGCGTCACGGTATTTTATCTGCATGTGCTGCTTTTACCTGGCATCTTACTGGATGCGGTCTACTATCGCATCCCTGTTGAAAAAGGTTGTTGGTTGGACTCTTCGCCGCAGTTCGCCTGGGCAACGTTTACCTCGTGGTTGGTATTTATTGTCCCAAAAGTATTCATTCCCATTTGCTATCCTCTACTCTGGAGAAAAGAAATGCGTCGAAGAAGACGGATTGTGGCCGCTCAGCAGTTTGCGGAGTTGACGATGACGTCGACACCTCCGGTGCCAGCGGACATGGCGACCGCCACCACGCGTCCGCAACGGAGCCATTTGCGACCATTCATTGTGTTGACTTTATTTACCATCAGCATTATCGTCTGCTGGATGCCGAGTCTGATGTACTACCAACTGCTGAATTTCGTTTCGATGGACAGGCTGAAGACGTTTGGGAAAGTCGCGGACATTTTATATTCGCTGCAAGGTCTACTGGATCCGGTTTTTGTCTGTCTGAGTCTGAGTAAGGTGTACCACCACGTGATGCGTTTGGGGAGGATGTGTGGTACTTGTCAGGTGGCACAGCAGAAGGATGCTGCCGAGCACTAGGATTTAAGTGTCTGTACGTGAATAAATTCGTGCATTTTGGGGCGATTTCTGCTCTAATCTGATCATTTGATGTGAATATATGCAAAATTCCTTACTGTTAAACGTAAATTTATTATTCGTTACTGGGTAGTTAAACGATTGGGTAACTGTTTAATGGCAAGGCATGAAATAAAGAAGGTTTGTGCCAGTTAACATCAAAGGGAACCTTAATTTTACTGTTTTCGACGGGCAGCCTGGGTTTACTAACTTGCATCCGGTATCCGTAATTCAGTGAAAAAATATGTCGCTCAGCACACACCAAAGCGGCATGCACATTGTTAATATTGATTGCAACTGAAGGGTTGGCGATCGTCCTAGTACGAAGATTATACACATTTTGTAAGGTTTGTTGCTTTTTTCTTCGAATAGTTTTAAAAGAAAGAGAGCACAAATAGAGTAGCAAATTCACCTGAGCAATTGTACTGTGCAGTACTGACTGCCCTGACGTGCAAAATTCACAAATTAACAGCGACAATAATTAACGTCTGGAGAATCCTTTTCATCCTGCTTCCGTCGCAGAGCAACCGGAAGCTGCAAAGATGCGGAATTTACCGGGACAAGCAGAGTTAGTACAGTACACAGAAATAGTAAGCGGATAAGGTCAGCAGTGTCATAACAACGAACGGTTGTAATTGAATTTCAGTTCGATTTGGCGTACTAGCCTAATTATCGGGCTGTTTTCGTTTCATCGATTGAAAGCCTGTCCGCGTCAGTAAAACTACCAGCATTATAACCTGAAACTGTCGTGGTGATTGTTTTCCAATCCCGCATCGTGTTCCCTCGGGTTGACTTTGCTACCAGACGAAGGACACGAAGATTTTATGTGGTCTTTTGCGCAAATCCATATTTCCCGAATGGATTTCACTACCTAATGAAAATTCCGGATTAATCACTTGCTAACGGCGCTGCCACGCACCACCGCTGCTCAGTGGTTGCAGTCTGCAAAAACAAAAAACACACCATACAGGTATAATTTATTTATTTAGTAAATACAAATGTTAGCACAAAAAGCTGAGATCAGACACCACTCGGCTTGATGAGAATCATTTGTAAAAATTACAATAATATTTTATTGAAACAATAAGGTTTTGTTTATATGTTCATTTGTAGAAAAATTCTTTTGCTATTATGCATTGTTACACACACTTGTGCGCTATCTGGGGATCTGGATTCCGCTGATATTAGGCCACAGTAATGGACGCGGTTATTGCAAACCTGTCTTACTACGCGAATCCATTGCCACTGAATCACACGCTGAATGAAAAGGGCTCCACCGATGCGGCACTCGCCACCTCATGGCTTTTGGGCACAACTGTCGCAGCGTTGTTGAGCAACTGCGGTGCCCTTCTGTTGTTTGCGATTGACAGGTCTTTTCAGACGCCTTTCAACGTGTACATTATCCTTCTGTTAACTGCCAATATAATTTTTGCGGGTGTGGACGGGCCGCTGAAAATCCTGGCTTATCCTTATGGCGGTTGGTGGACTGGGCAAACAGCATGTATGATGCACCTGTACTGTGTTTATGTCGTTGCCGCGTTTGTCATTCACGTTCACCTTCTGATTACGGTCAACCGCGCATGGGCATTATTTTGGCCCTTTGCATATAAAAACCACCATTCCCGTGCGGTGGCCTGGTGGTTGTGTTTCGGTACGGTAATTTATCTACATGTGATGCTTCTACCTGGTATTATGATCGATGCTGCGTTCTATCGCGTTCCGCTTGAGAAAGGTTGCCGATTAAATTTATCACGGCAGTTTACATGGGCCACAATTATCACGGTGGGGGTGTTCGACGTGCCAAAATTGCTGATTCCGCTGTCCTATCCAGTTCTGCTCTACAAAGAGTTACGCAGGCGGAAGACGATGGCTGCTGCGCATGTTGCGCGTAGTCCCACGGAAACATTAGATCCGGCCCAGGCCTGGTACAGCATCCAGCGCAACCCAAGCGAGGAGGTTCTCGTCCGTTCGTCGTGTTAACTTGTTTTGCCATCAGCGTAATTGTCTGCTGGATACCGGGGACAGTGTATTACGAACTGCTCCGCTTTATTCCGGCAGCTGATCTGGAAATCCTGCACAGAGTCGAGGGCACCTTGTTTGGACTGCAAAGCCTGCTGGATCCGGTTTTTGTTTGTCTGAGCCTCACGAAAGTGTACCGCTACATATTTTCTTCGCGGAAAAGGTGCAGCAATCCGCGGGTTGAATAAAATTCTGCTTGCTGCATATACTTGTAAGTTGTGTTCTAGACACTTCCCGGGCATTTTTTGACCACACAGAGATTAATTATAACGGTATAACGGTCCTGCAGATGGGCAGATCATTTAAGTAAGTAATATCTTTTGTTTAACTTTGATGCGTTTTATTTTAGGCTATGAGAAAATTACTGGTTGCGGTTGCGGTTAGTAATGAAAACTGGTTGCGGTCGCACTACTCGTACAGTGGAGTGTTCCATGTACAAGCCTTGTAAGTTGTTGTACTTACTTAGCGCTTAGGACGATGACTACCACGATATTTACGGAGACGAGTACAGCTCACAAAAATACCTGCAAATGAAAAATTTGTCCCAGCAAGCAGGAGAATGGACCGTACACAATACACTCACCGCATTCCAGCGCATTATTTCCAAACTTGCAACGCTAAAACAAAAAAAGACAAGCGGAGCCACTCTCGCCCGTTGTAACGGAACGTTTTTACCAGTCGTTCTATGGAGAACAGACCATTCCCAAGGGAGTCATTCCCCTCGGGATTCATACTCTGAAGAAAGAATCATTCTCATCAAAATATGAGTTTTAGTATTCAGGAATTTCTAAGCATAAGCAGGCAGTTATACTCCACCGGCACCGGCCGTGTCCTGTAAGGAAACTGGTTCCAGTTCAATCACAAAGTTTAAAATGTGGGGCTACCAAATTCTCCATAGTTTCTGGCTCTGTTGCAGCAAAAACGAAGGGTGATTTATTGCAACTGAAAACCACAGAAAACGCTGGAATTTTGCTAACAAACTGAACAGGTCAATTTTTAGGAACTGAAATACTGAATTGTAGCTATGTACCAATCACACTTTTCACTGTGAACTATTATCCGAGCAGGATTCGGAGAGCAATTTTTATACTGTAGTATAAGGCTGAAACCTCTGGTAGCTGCGTAGTGATTTAATTTATAATTACAGTTGAAAACGATATACAGTAATCTGCTATTTCGGTCGGTCTTAACAGTTAGGTTATTTAGGTACTTTGCCACCGTTTTCTGGTATTTTTCTCAGACCGCAGCCACTACCGGCAGCCGCGGAGAAGGCTAAGAGAGCAAAGACTACATCAAGAGCAGACAACTCGATTAACGGGATTTCGACGTCTGGTCGGTACTCCGTAACACCAAGATATCACCTGTTAACGTTTCTGATGTTGCATCAGGCAATTACTAGTCAATGATAGTGTAAAGACGGATTAATGTGGGGTACCCTGAGATACGCCTAGCCTGCGTTTTGTGGTTAATGGTATATAATTTCACCTGGCACATTACCGCTGTTGTTCTACTTTCTGTAACGTATTAACTCTGTAAGTGTATAAGTGAGGAGTCTGATTACAGACATAGTACCGCCTAAATCCGCCTCCTGGGATACGTCTGACGTTTATAAAACAAGGTTAACAAGCCGTAATTTACAGCTTGTTCCCACTTCTTTCCTGTAAAGTGCGCCATAATTCCGGATAATAGCGGTTCGAAGCAGAAAGAACCAGCAATTTAGATGCCTCTAGGGGCATACCGGCGCAGGCCAGAGTAATAGGCAGATGCTCTTGGCTGTCACAGCTTGGCTTATAACCGAATATAACGTGTGCGGTCATGGTGTACCAACATGTTATTTTTTTGCAGAACCTGTGGTGCCAAGTGTATTCGCTTTTTTCAGCGTAAATTCGTAAAACAAATCATACTAACTAACTGTCGTATCGGTCATCTGAGATCAAAATGACCAGTAACATATCGCTAAATTCGTCGGCAGCGGCAGTGAATTCCACTTTTACTATGACAAATGCGGTTGAGAGTTCGCTTTCCCCCGCTCTGATCAGTTTCACAGTGGTAACTCTACTTTTTAACTGTGGAGTGCTGGCAATCCTCCTGCACGGAAGAAAACAGCAAACGCCTTTCGACGTGTACCTCATTGCTCTGTTGGCCAGTAATGTCCTCTACGTCGGAATAACTAATCCCCTACGAATCGTCACTTTGCCATACAATTCATGGCGGATTGGAAGCGTGGCATGCACGATTAATCTTTACTTCAATTACATTCTCTCCGCTGTTACGGTACACATCCATCTCCTTATCAGTATCGTTCGCGGATGGGCACTGTTTTGGCCGCTGTCATATAAAGCGCGTCACACTTTCGGCCTTGCCTGGCTGGTGTGTTTGTGCGTGGTCATTTATCTGCACATTGTACTGCTGCCTGGTATAGTTCTGGATGCTGCTTATTATCGAATTCCAGAAGAAAAAGGATGTTGGATGAATTCAAAAGCGCATTTCGCCTGGTACATGTTCATGTCTGTTGCTGTCTACGACGTACCCAAAGCGTTGATTCTCGCATGTTATCCTGTGCTGTTATGGAAAGCGGTTCGTCGGAGAAGATTGTCCATTTTTCGGACCGATGCAACAACCAGTCATGAGACCGAAGGACCCGAGAGACCGAAGAACGTCAACCGCCGCCAGAAGGAGCGGTCGCGGCCGTTTGTTATGCTGACGCTGTTGACCTTATGCGTAACGGTCTGCTGGATCCCGAGCATGATTTATTTCAAATTGCTTGACTTTGTGCCACCAGCCAGGCTAAACACTTTCCGCAGTATGGCAAATACCCTTTTCAGTCTACAATCTCTGCTAGATCCCATAATACTCTGCTTGAATTTCCGCAACCTAAGCAGCTATATGGTGGCGCTGTGGGGAAGCTGTAATTACCGGCCAAGGATGGCCGTTCACCAGCAACCCCGGTGATGAACATCAACAAGCAACTGCCGCCTTGTGGTTAGCTGTGTATTCTTGGCTTTGAAATAATAAACTAATTGTTTGCTAAGAAATAACTACCGTACAAGAGCAAATC